TAATTGCTGTCAATCTGGCACTATACGACCATGCAAAGTATCCGAGTCAGCAGTCTGTTGAAGCCAGAAGCTGCCACCCAAACCCATATTTCTGAAAGGCACATCGCTTAAGTTTGATTCTCGATCAAAATATAATCCAATTCTGGGAGAGTGGGAGGCGACAAAAAAGATAATATTTCATACATTCTGACAGCTTAATATTTATGAAAACAAAATTTGTCATCTTTTCAGCAACCAATACATAAGCTGATAAGCCGCCATCATAGATGAGCTATATATGTGTCCTTTAAGGTGATGACCAATAGTCCAATACGCAATAGCCTTAGCTTCATTCTTTGTGTTAGTTTTTTATGCAAAAATGCTTCCGCAACTACTCTTTCTTCTACCTATTGCACTTATTTTCATTACTAATTATATTATTCTTCCTACTATTAGGAAGTCCAATAATTATGCACCAGGTCCTCCGGGGCTGCCAATCATTGGGAACTTGCATCAACTTGATAGCACAGCGCCCCATGTCTTCCTTTGGAAACTTTCTAAGAAATATGGTCCCCTGATGAGCATGAAACTTGGTTACAGAGAAGTTGTAGTGATTTCCTCAGCGAGAATGGCGAAAGAGGCCTTAAAGACACACGACTTGGCGTTTTCTAGTAGGCCTTTATTTATAGGCCGGCAGAGGTTATCCTACAACGGCTTAGAAATTGCGTTTACGCCTTATGGAGACTACTGGAGAGAGATAAGAAAGATTTCTGTTCTTCATCTGTTTAGCCTCAAGAGAGTGAAGCAGTTTCAACCAATTCGGGAAGATGAAGTCTCTCGGATGATGAATCGGATATCTGAGCTTGCCTTGTCGTCTCAGCTAGTGAATCTAAGCGAGATGGCCATGTCTCTAACTTGCAACATAATTTGTAGGTCTGCTTTTGGGAAGAGTTATGATGAGGAAAGACCAGGGAAGTGGGGGTTTCACAAACTTCTGGTTGAATCTCAGGCAATGATGGTGGGAGGCTCCTTAATTGCAGATTTTTTGCCATCTTTTGGTTGGTTAGATAAACTCATTGGAAATTCTGCAAGACTTGAGAGAGTTTTCAAGGAGCAAGATTCGTTTTATCAAGAACTCATTGATCAACATCTTGATCCAAACAGGCCAAAATCAATGGATGGTGATATACTTGATGTTTTAATCAGTTTGAAGATGGTGAATTCATCTTCAGTCAATCTCACTTGGGATCACATTAAAGCAGTGTTAATGGTAAGTTGAGATGTTTTATTTCTTAATTCCCTTTGTTTGAGTTTCTATCTTTTACAATATTATATTTTCATTTCCTCCTTAAATTCGTCATTTCTCTTAAACTTCAGATTGTGTTTGTTGCCGGATCGGACACAAGTGCAGCTGTAATAGTCTGGGCCATGACCGCTCTAATGAAAGAACCTAGGATAATGAATATAGTCCAATCAGAAATCAGGGACCACATAGAAAAAAAAGGTAGGATAGATGAAGAAGACATTCAAGAATTACCATATTTTAAGACAGTTGTAAAAGAAACCATGAGGTTATATCCACCAGCTCCACTCCTAGTTGAACGAGAAACGCTCTCAAAATGCACCATTGATGGATATGAAATTAAGCCAAAAACGCTTGTATTTGTGAACGGTTGGGCCATTGTCAGGGATCCTGAATGTTGGGAAAACCCTCACGAATTCTATCCTGAGAGATTTCTTGACAACGAAGTTGACTACAAAGGACAAGATTTTGAATTCATTCCATTCGGAACTGGTAGGAGAATGTGTCCTGGATTAGCACTTGGGATTGCATCGGCAGAGCTTGCACTCGCTAATCTTCTTTATGCATTTGATTGGGAACTTCCTTCTTGGATGAAGAAAGAAGACATTGACACCAATGTTATGCCTGGAATTACTATGCATAAAAAGATCCCTTTGTGCCTTGTTGCCAAAAAGGTGTGATGAATTAGCAAGTTTTTAAAACAGACATTACTTGTATAATATTGTATAATTATTTTTAATAAAATTAGTTTATGAAATTTATAATCATTGCACGCTTGATTATGTTTAAAATTAATATAATGATCAAATGATAGTAGTAAAATTATTTGTATGAGACTAGCTAGGAGTAGTAAAATTCTACAAAAGCAAAAACAAAAATCCAAATTAATAATGATGGGAGAGAATAATGGATCTATCTAAACTCAATTTTATATATTTGTAGAGATTTAGATCAACTATAATTCTCAAAACATATAATTTTACATCATCTAGAAATACCTCATATATAACAATCACTTAAAACATAAAATTTAATATTTACGGAGTATAATTTAACGTTAAAAATAGAGATAGAGTTGGGGTCTCCCTCCCTATGATTCAAAAAATAGAGATAGATCGGATTTTTCTGTGCACACATGAAGATTAGGATCGTTTCACCGGTAAGTTAGTTGCGCGATACGTGATTTACCTTCGCAATGGCTCTAGAAACGGAGTCCTATAGACTTAAGATATATTAGTTCGACAACACAGCGACGGCTGGACGACAACAGCGAAGACGGAGTCTGACGGCGAGAGTGGATGAGAGTTTCCGCGAGAGGGTTAGGGCTTGAGACTACGGCGGTGGTGGTGGAGAGGTGTGTATTTGGGTGACGGAGATGGAGATGGAGATAGAGAAGGAGAAGAGGCTGACGATGGCGTATTCCTCAATCGCGGAGCAGATTATCAATTCTTCTCTGATTTCTCAATTGCAGAGCAGATTATCAGTTCTGATTGTTGAGTCCAAATTACGAAGCAGACATACTCTCTACCTATCATCGCTCTGTTCTTCTCAATCGCTGCCAGATCCTCCCATTCCTCCTCTGGAATTCGCACAATCGGATGAGAATTCTCTGATTTCTCCTTCAAATTATTAGTTCTGACTATTGTGCGAGTCCAATTTGATCGATCTCGCATCAAATTTTCTATTCTAGCATTTGTGCGAAAATCCTCTTGCTCGACTTTGTGATGCAATTTCTGGAAATCAGATACAATTTGGAAGCAGATTGTCAATTGGATCATCAATCCGACCTTCTGGAAGTAGTCTAGCTGATTCTGCCAACTTTATGTTTTCCGGCAACTTAAACGTCGTCGGAAAACCTTCCGTTCCCGGCTGGCCTCCCCTCGCCGCCAGGTCTGACTTGCAAAACCCTGTCGAAAAAAATCAAACACGGCAAATATACGCTCTAATTGGAAAAATTATATGAGACAAATATAGAAAGATCAAAATGTCCCTGGATTACACGACTTTTTTACAGAAATACTAATGGTAGACTAAAAATTGAACACTTTTAATAACAATGTTCACAATGTGACACAATTAATTAAGAGAGATTAAAATTGAAAAGACCTTTATAACAGTAGGACCAAAAGTGAAATTCACGGTTTAAATAAAATTTAATCCCGAATATAAAATTTGACATTAGTCAATAAAATTATTTAAATGCTAATAATCACATAATAATACTACAATGCAAAGTACATACTCCTTAATTTATATAGTTAATCAATAAAAATTCTGCAACCAAACTTTATTAGAAATTCTCCCTCCCTATTTTATCCTTATTTCTCTTGTAGACTGCGACCACCGACCAACGACGGTTCGGCCTCTGAATATTCACCAAACACAAAAAAAAAAAAAAAAAAAAAAAAAATTGATGTTGCAACCCTAATGACCTGTAATAGTAGGTTATTTACGGGTTTTGAACTTCATTGCATCAATATACCAAGGTGTAATTTCACTTTTTAAAAGTTTATGGGACTATTTGACTTTTCATGCAAAGTTTAAGATTTTATTTGACCATTTTCCCTAAGATAAAATTACTTAGACTTTTTGGTGTTTACAGTGCGAGTCTGCGACTGACCTAACCTAACTAACTACACGGAGTAGGGGCAGACGTCTTTAAATTCCTTTTTTTTTTTGTTTTTTTATGTACCCAGAGTTTTCACTATGAGACACAATGACTAATTCTCTCATTGAGTTGTAGGTACCTGCTCCATACCTTTTGTTTGAACCTTGAAGAAGAGTTCTAATCTAAATCATATACAAATGGCGGAAGAGATGAGAAGATAGAGAGAACGATATCATAAAAGATTTTTGGTTAAATAAGGGTAAAATAGAAAATAAAATATAAGCTAAAGTGTCATCCCGCACCATGAACCATTCCTGATTATTCATGTCGCACCATGATCTTTAATAAGTGATATTTAAAGCCATAAATCGTAATTTTTTTTTCGTCTAGAACTTTTTACAGGTTACCGGTAATAATATTGCTGACATGAAAATTTTTATTATTATTTTTTTTTGTACTTTTCTTTTTTTGCCGTCGTATTATTTTTTCGTATTTTTTTTCCTAAACGTATAGGTCTGCTCTGTGTTTTTCACTTCTCGTTTCTCCGATCATGCCTGCTCTGTATAGACCTGCTCTGCGGAGTTTGGTATCGGAGAAACGAGAAGCGAAAAACGCAGAGCAGGCTTATACGTTTAGGAAAAAAGAAAAATACGAAAAAAAATTATAATACGAAGGCGAGAGAAGAAAAATATATATAAAAAAATTAATAAAAAATTCTATGTCAGCAATATTATTATTAGTAACCTGTAAAAAGTTCTAGACCCAAAAAAATTTATGATTTATGGCTCTAAATATCGTTTATTAAAAATCATAGTGCGATATAAATAATCAGGAATAGTTCATGGTGCCGGATGACACTTTAGCCTAAAATATATAACCATATTATTGAGAACTAAGAATGACTTAATACCAAGAAGGAACTAGTAATAGGTAATAGCTAGCTAAACCCTAGACCCTACAAGGAATAGCTCATTCCCAATAATATTATTATCATTAGGAATATAATATTTTATCAAATAAAAGAATATGACGGGAATGTTATTCTATTCCTAACCTATTTTGGGAACCAAACGTGTGGTCTAGTTAAAACTTGTCTTTAAATTCCTTTGTTGGGCGATTAACCCTTCCCCTCCCTCTTCTCCGTGCATTCACTACTTTCTGCTTCGGGCTTTATCCGGATTTGGGGTCTGCTTTCTTCACCGACCTCCATCTATCGAGACCCTAACCTTCGGATCAGGTACCGCCCTATGCCCCCTTTTCCCGTATTCATTCGGATCTTCCCTTATCAATTATCAGTTAACCGTGTTTCCTATATTTCAATTCTTATTGATTTTGCTTGAAAGGTTTTATTTTATTTTGTTGTAATTGGACATTTCGGATCTTTGTTGGATATAATTATCGTGGAATATTAATTGTGGAAACGATTTCGGTTTCGAATGAGTAAAGGCTTTGTTTTTCTTTTGACTATGAAGATGCGATTCATCTGTTTATAAACGCGCGTATGAATTTTCACTTAATTACCTTAGCCGTGATTTATTTGTTTGTTTATGCTCAGTTGTGTTTTGTAAAATTGATACTCTGTATAATACTGATTTCATATTTTCTGGTGTTTTTGCTTACGTTGTATGGTAATTTTTTTTTATATGGACTCTATATTTGTAAACACACACACATATTGATCAATTCATGATTGCCTGAACCCTAGTTTAAGTTTATGTGGGCTTAAGGTTATGTTTCTGCTTTGTGTTTTGACTGAGGTGAAGGAAAATATAAAATCTCTGCCCATATTAGAAGCTTATGCATTTTAAATGTAATTTGATTAGAGGATTAGTTCACATGCATTTTTTTTTTTTTTTGGTTTCCTGTGTTGGAGAGGTGATATATAATTCATGAATTTTGATAATTATGTCTCCCAGGTCTGAGCATCCAAATTTTGCACAGGAGGTTTATTTGTCCGTGCGGTCTTTCAATTGTCAACCAAGGTTCATGTCTGAATTCGACCTCCAGACTCCCGCTGCTTTTGGTATGGTCTCCCTCAATTTATTACTTTTGCTTTTTGTTGTAAAGTTTATATTTCTTGTTCTTAGAAGTTCTCTTAGTCTTTCCTATAGACTTGCTAGGGAAGCTGTACTCTCGGCTGAACGTAGGGAATGGAGGCTGAATCCTCCTCCTTTCCTTTGTGATGTTTTATGTAATGATTTGAATTAATGAAGTTAATTATTCCAAAAAAAAAAGTTCTCTTAGGCCAATTAAAAGAACAAATTGCCTGTGTTATGTTATAAAGAAGAGAAGGCCAAGTAAGAGTTTGGAGGGCTGGTTAGGATAAAATTGACTACAATTTTATGTTGTATTCCTGACATACCTATGCTTTTACGTTCTCTTTAGATCCCTTTGCTGAGGCAAATGCTGAAAGTTCTGGTGATGGGTCAAAAGATTATGTGCACATTCGTGTTCAGCAGCGAAATGGTAGGAAGAGCTTGACAACTGTGCAGGGGTTGAAGAAAGATTTCAGCTACAACAAAATATTGAAGGACCTTAAGAAAGAATTTTGCTGCAACGGTACTGTTGTTCAGGATCCGGAATTGGGCCAGGTATACATGTTTTGATAATGTGGTTGTTGATTACTATCAGTTCAGTGTTCTGACTAATCAATCTATTTGGCATTTCTTGTGAAGGTTATTCAGCTTCAAGGTGATCAGCGGAAGAATGTATCTACTTTCCTCGTCCAGGTAATTGCCTTGTACAGCTTAATTTTTACTTGGTACTATACACAAATTTTACGAGATAGTGGGTGCATCGGTGGTTGTGGAGAGTATGTGTGCTCATTTTGTGTTACAAGTCATAAACGAGCCTTTTAGAGATGAACCTGACTGGCATTTGTGATCTTTACTTGCTTAGTTAATCAATCCAAACTCTTAACAGCCTTGCTTAATTCAAGTCAAAAGTTTTGTTTGAAAATTGAAGCCCTAATGCTCTAGTTTTCAGCTTTATTTTCTTTTTCTTTGAAAATTGGGAAGACATCTGGGGTAGTAGCAATGTTGCAAAAATAGGCCTAGGCGGCCGCCTAGGTGTCCCTAGGCCGAGGGGATTTTACCCTTAAGTGAACATTAGTCGACTGGCCGACTAGGTATCCTAGGCGCCCGAGTCGGCCAACTAGGCACTCAACACGGTCGAGTGTTTTTTTTTTTTTTTTTTTTTGGTGTGCTATTTTTCTTATTATTATTACTCGGCCGCATAGGCGCCGGACTAGCACCTCCTACAACATTGGGTAGTAGGACATACATGCTAACAATGAATTTGGATTGTTAAATAATGACATTTAAGAAACTCGTTTAAAAATTGAATTCCTTGCATAATTTATTTGCAGGCTGGAATTGTGAAGAAAGAACACATCAAAATCCATGGTTTCTGATCTGCTCGGACAATTAGTACATCCATTGCCGCTTGTATTCTGCCAGTTGCCTATTATCTTATCTTTTGTTTCCAGTTGCCGGTTACGATTTGCTTGTGTTATGCACAATTGTTATGGGACATGATGATGTACTTCATTTTCTGAATAATGACAACTTTGTCAAGTGGTTCTCACTCAGATTACTCTGTGGCTTCTTTCATCTCCTAGTCTAGCTTTACGCCATAGTTGTCATGGAGTAATAAGCTTTAGGGTTATTTATTTTTCTGTATGGTAACATATTAGCCAACTTTCCCATTTTGAACAGAATGTGGGAGCAAAGTCATTAGAACATATTAACTCGCATTAGACTATGGAATTTCTTTTCCTTGAATATGCAAATTTGGATTAATTTAATTTAATTTTTTTTTAAATGCATGTGTGTATATGTTTTTATTTGTCAATTCACAATATATGGATCACCTTCGAATGCTTTGTTTATATTTTTGGTTCTTTTGATTTCGTATAATAATCGAATTTTAACATTGTAAACAAATATTAGGGAAAAGACAAATTAGAGAAAAAGCGAAAGAGTATAATATTTGAGATACGGAGTATTAAAATTGAAATGAACACATTATTGACAACGGAAGAGTTTAAGGTCAAGATGTAAAGAAATATCATGTTGAATTCAATCTTTTTTTTTTTTTTTTTTAGAATAAAAGATAAAACTTATTCAAACTATCTAAAATGATAGGGGGAAGTTGGAATAGAGAACGAAACCTTACATTTAGACGGAGAGCAAGTTATCTTAACTATCTTGTGGGTAATTTTATTTGCTTAGAAAGTAGAACAGAGAACCAAACATTACATTTAGACAGAGAACATGTTATCTTAATTAACGTATGGACAACTCTATTCGTTTAATGTTTAACAAAAGAGAAACTGACATTGGTCAAATTCCTAGCTAATTCGTTAGTCAAGTATTAGTTGGAGCAAGAAGATGATTGAAATTGAAGTTGAGATTTTGAAGAAGGTTTCATTATTGATAAAGAGAGAGATGAAGATGATTGATTGGAACCCAAAACAATGTATACAAAAAGTCAATCAAATAGAGAGGTTTGTCCAAGGGAGGCCATGCATTAATTTTCAAATGAAGTATCACTTCATATGATTGAGAAGTATTACATAAATAAGTGATAGGGAATATTATCCGAGTATATCCTTCTACATATCGTTTACTTGTTCGGTACCCGGTTAGATCGCTAGGAAGAATCATGTCTGACCTTAGTTGACTTTTAGCTCAATATTTTCGACCTAAATACGTTGCCCGAGCTAAATCATAATTGCAATAGTACTTCGTTGTCTTAGGATCAGTCCCGACTTGTTTGAGTCAGAATTGTCATCCCAAACTAGGGTACTTGAAGATTTGGACCAAGGCTCTTAACTTTAACCCGACTACATCTCTCATTGGTTAGCCAGGAATATCGATACACGTGGCTAGTAGGACGATGTTCTCGAGCCAATTGGTTGCATGTGCGACACATGGCAAGCATGTCGGATGTTCAGCATGTGCTCCATTCCCTCTGCTATAAATATCACATTAAAATGCAATGAGGGGAGACTTTTGGCATTTCAACCTACCACATCATAGCTCGGGACTCTCTGACCTCACATCATAGCCCGAGCTCTAGACTTAACTAATAAGAAAATTACTAAAGGATCTATCTACGATCTGGCCTCATAAATTGTACGTATTTTTAGATTTAACCATATTTACCACATCAATAAGTTTAAGAAAAGATAAATATAATATAATATAATATAATAATTAATTTAACTAGCATACCAAAATAAATAATAAGTGACAATAAAAATTATTTAGTTTTTAGGAATTAAGTTAGCTAGGTAGGTGAATTAGGTGTGCAGTCATATCTTGTTAACTTTGAATTCGAATGTTAAAAATGAAAAAATAAAGGGGAAAAGGTTAAATAAGTGCTTTAATTTTACCTGAAAAATTAATTAGTTCCTTAAATTTTTAAAAAGTGCAATTACACTTTTTAACATGTTATATTGATAAAATAAAGTCTAAAAATTAGTTAATGACATGCTATTAGGTCATTAGGTTTCCGCATCAATTTTATCCATCTTTGACGATAATTTGATAGTCGAACTGTCGTCGGTTGTCGCTACCAAAGGCGACCAGTCGACCACTGGTTGCCTAGAGGTGGTCGCCTTCCGCCGGAGACGGCAACCCAACTAGTTGCCTTCTTTCGTAGACGGCGACCGACGACAGTTTGATCGTCGCCGGCCGCCGAATTATCGTCGGAGACGAATAAAATTGATGTCGGAATCTTAATAACATGTAATAGTAGTTTATTTATCCACTTTTGGACTTGTAAAATTGATGTCGGAATCCTAATATATCATGTTAAATGGTGTAATTGTACTTTTTAAAAGTTAAGTGCTACTAATTCATTTTTAGGTAAAATTTAAAACTTATTTGACACTTTTTTTCTCAAATAAAATTACTTAAAATTTTGGTATTTATACTAAATTATAACTTGTAACTACCTCTTTTGGATAAAATCAACTTATCTAGAGATTTAAAGCTGCTCTATATCCAAAACTAAGAATCCACTTTTGACCTTAATTAAATATATGAATGATGAGTCATTTCTCTCAACAACACCCAACACCCTACACCCAAGGTTAAAACTTGTCTTTAAATTCCGCGATTAACCCTTCCCCTCCCTCTTCTCCGTGCATTCGCTACTTTCTGCTTCGGGCTTTATCCGGATTTGGGGTCTGTTTTCTTCACCGACCTCCATCTCTCGAGACCCTAACCTTCGGATCAGGTACCGCTCTATGCCCCCCTTTTCCCGTATTCATTCGGATCTTCCCTTATCAATTATCAGTTAACCGTGTTTCCTATATTTCAATTCTTATTGATTTTGCTTGAAAGGTTTTATTTTATTTTGTTGTAGTTGGACATTTCGGATCTTTGTTGGATATAATTATCGTGGAATATTAATTGTGGAAACGATTTCGGTTTCGGATGAGTGAAGGCTTTGTTTTTCTTTTGACTATACAGATGCTTAATTAGCTTAGCCGTGATTTTTTTGTTTGTTTATGCTCAGTTGTGTTTTGTAAAATTGATGCTCTGTATAATACTGATTTCATATTTTCTGCTGTTATTGCTTACGTTGTATGGTAATTTTTTTTATATGGACTCTATACTTGTAAACACACACATATTGATCAATTCATGATTGCCTGAATGTTAGTTTAGGTTTATGTGGGCTTAAGGTTATGCTTCTGCTTTGTGTTTTAACTGAGATAAAGGAAAATATAGAAGCTTTGCCCATATTAGAAGCTTATGCATTGTAAATGTAATTTGATTAGTTCACATGCATTTTTTTTGGGTTGCCTGTGTTGGAGAGGTGATATATAATTCATGAATTTGGATAATTATGGCTCCCAGGTCTGAGCATCCAAATTTTGCACAAGAGGTTTATTTGTTCGTGCGGTCTTTCAATTGTCAACCAAGGTTCATGTCTGAATTCGACCTACAGACTCCTGCTGCTTTTGGTATGGTCTCCCTCAATTTATTACTTTTGCTTTTTGTTGTAAAGTTTATATTTCTGTTCTTAGAAGTTCACTTAGGCCAATTAAAAGAACAAATTGCCTGTGTTATGTTAGAAAGAAGAGAAGGCCAAGTAAGAGTTTGGAGGGCTGGTTAGGATAAAATTGACTACAATTTTATGTTGTATTCCTGACATACTTATGCTTTTACGTTCTCTTTAGATCCCTTTGCTGAGGCAAATGCTGAAAGTTCTGGTGATGGGTCAAAAGATTATGTACACATTCGTGTTCAGCAGCGAAATGGTAGGAAGAGCTTGACAACTGTGCAGGGGTTGAAGAAAGATTTCAGCTACAACAAAATATTGAAGGACCTCAAGAAAGAATTTTGCTGCAACGGTACTGTTGTTCAGGATCCGGAATTGGGCCAGGTATACATGTTTTGATAATGTGGTTGTTGATTACTATCAGTTCAGTGTTCTGACTAATCAATCTATTTGGCATTTCTTGTGAAGGTTATTCAGCTTCAAGGTGATCAGCGGAAGAATGTATCTACTTTCCTCGTCCAGGTAATTGCCTTGTACAGCTTAATTTTTACTTGGTACTATACACAAATTTTACGAGATAGTGGGTGCATCGGTGGTTGTGGAGAGTATGTGTGCTCATTTTGTGTTACAAGTCATAAACGAGCCTTTTAGAGATGAACCTGACTGGCATTTGTGATCTTTACTTGCTTAGTTAATCAATCCAAACTCTTAACAGCCTTGCTTAATTCAAGTCAAAAGTTTTGTTTTTGATATAGCATGGGTTATGGCTAATTATTTTAGACCTGAATTATTAAATTTAGATGTGACCATTTCTTGCTTAGCCTTGATTGAAGTCCTAGTACTCTAGTTTTCAGCTTTAGTTTCGTTTTCTTTGAAAATTGGAAAGACATCTGGAGTAGTAGCACTGTTGCAAAAATCGGCTTAGGTGTCCCTAGGCTGAGGGGATTTTACCCTTAGGCGAACATTAGCCGACCGGCTGACTAGGTGGCCTAGGCGCCCGAGTCGGCCACACTTGGCGCCTGAGCCCGAGTTGGCCGAGTGTTTTGTTTTTTTGGTGTGCTATTTTTCTTATTATTACTCGGCCGCATAGGAGGCGCCCGACTAGCGCCTCCTACAACATTGGGTAGTAGGACATACATGCTAACGATGAATTTGAATTGTCAAATAATAATGATATTTATTTAAAAATTGAATTCCTTGCGTAATTTATATGCAGGCTGGAATTGTGAAGAAGGAACACATCAAAATCCATGGTTTCTGATCTGCTCGGACAATTAGCACATCCATTGCTGCTTGTATTCTGCCAGTTGCCTAATTATTTATCTTTTGTTTCCAGTTGCCGGTTACAATTTGCTTGTGTTATGCACAATTGTTATGGGACATGATGATGTACTTCATTTTCTGAATAATGACAACTTTGTCAAGTGGTTCTCACTCAGATTACTCTGTGGCTTCTTTCATCTCCTAGTCTAGCTTTCCGCCATAGTTGTCATGGAGTAATAAGCTTTAGGGTTATTTATTTTTCTGTATGGTAACATATTAGCCAGCTTTCCCATTTTGAACACAATGTGGGAGCAAAGTCATTAGAACATATTAACTAGCACAAGAATTTCTTTTCCTTGAGTATGCAAATTTGCATTAAATTAATTTTTTTTTTTTAAATGCATTTGTGTATATATTTTTATTTGTCAACTTACAATCTATGGATCACCTTTGAATACTTTGTTTATAATTTCGTATAATAATCGAATTTTAACCAAAACCAAAAAGAATACTCAAGGGTAATTAACTCAAGACATGTAAGGCAACAAAATATAAAGGTTTCTTAAAGGGAGGCTATACATTAAATTTCTAATGAAGTATTCCTTAATTTCTTGTATCATTGAGAAAAATGATCCGCTCAAGATAAGATAAATATAATAAAATAATTAATTAATGGACATATTAAAAAATGATTGAAATAATGAGTGAGTAAAAGTTAATTTATTTTAGCAATTACGCGAGATAGTTGAGATAGGAGAGTGGTCATTTATCAAATAACTAATCAATTAAGCTAAATTTAATTTGCAATTTAACTAAAATTAACTATTAAGTAAACTTAATTTGGATGAGAGGTCATAACAACATTGTTCAGATAATGAATATTAATCAAATAGAGTCATAGAGAGGTCTCTCTAAGGGAGGCTATGCATTAATTTTCAAATGAAGTATCACTTCATATGATTGACAAGTATTACCATAAATAAGTTTAAGAAAGCGAAAATTGTAAAAAATGCACCTCTATAATATGTCAATTATCAATGTCACCCCTGAATTATGAGTGGTGTAAATATTGCCCCTCAATTATCAAAATGGTGCACATATAGCCCCTCCCGTAGTGGACCTGTGGTTCCCCACCGCTGTCCATTGCTGCTACTTTGAATCGAGGGAGGAAAAAAACAACTAAATTACATATTTACTCCGACTTAACGGTGTCGTACACTAACGAGGAACCACATGTCCGTTACGAGAGGTGCTATATGTGCACCGTTTTGATAATTGAGGGGCAACATTTACACCACTCATAATTCAGGAGTGACATTGGTAATTGACATATTATAGAGGGGCATTTTTTATAATTTTCCCTTTAAGAAAAGATAAATATACCTTGTGCGCACCGGCATTTGGCCTTGTCTACTAAACCATTGAGTCACCGTAATTTACATCCTCCCACATGCTTTGTCGGGTCAGAGTGTGGGAGTTGGGGATTTAACCTTTTGAGAGAAGAAAAGATAAATATAATATAATATAGGGGAAATTGTAATTTATGCCCCTTACAAATATGTCAATTATCAATGTCACCCCTGAATTATCAGTGGTGTAAATGTTGCCCCTCAATTTTCAAAACGTGACATATATTGCCCCTCCCCTAATATGAAGAAGGAGAAAAATTGTTGCCTACGGAAGGAGAACAATCGAAGAAAGAAAAATTGAGAAAAAAAACGTGGTCTACGAACAAGAAAGACGACGGGTAACCACATTTACATCACTAATAATTCAGGGGAGGGGCAATATATATCACGTTTTGAAAATTGAGGGGCAACATTTACATCACTAATAATTCAGGGGTAACATTGATAATTGGCCTATTTGTGAGGGGCATAAATTACAATTTTCCCTATAATATAATAACTAATTTAACTGGATGGCATACCAAAATAAATAATAAGTGACAATCAAAATTATTTAGTTTTTAGGTAGGAAGGTATGTGAACTAGGTGTGCAATCATATCTTGTTAACTTTAGACTCGAATGTTAAAAATGAAAATATATATATATATATATATATATATATATATATATATATATATATATATAATATTATCTAAAAGACTAAATGTAAAATTAAGTTAGAGTTGGAGACATGTAAATCTCATCAAGTATGCACTTATCGTGCACGTGAATCTCATGTACACATATTGGGTGGCCTCTTACATATTTACATTACATATAAATCATCAAAGTTATAATAAGAAGAAGCTAGGAAGATACAAAAAATAAAAATAAAACAAACAATTTGCTCATAAATTATCAGAAGTTCACAAAACTTGTTGTATTACAACACACAATTTGCATTTTTATACAACTTTGAAAACAAAACCCAAAAAAAAAAATGTTTACAAGGAATGAATATCAATCTTCCAAACTACAATTACTCTTTATAATATATAAATAAATAAAGTGTACATATTATGTATCCAATTGAGTGCTGGAATATACATTACTATCATCACCAAATCAAGCCACAGAAATGCCAAAATCAACTAATCTGGACCTCCAACTCTTCTTCCTCCTTCACACTTTCTTAGCAGCTTGAGCCTAAGCAAGCAAAACAGTTAAGCATTAGCACATAGAAATGACAGAGCAGAGAAGATGGATACCAAAAACGCCACGCCATGGCGGCCAGAGAGGCCCGGCGGGTGGAAGCCTCGTGTTTCCTGGCCGCCCTAAAATGGTCGGAACCCTAACACTGAATAGCATTGTAATCAGTGTTGCAAAAATCAGGCGCCGATTAGGCGCTAGGCGGTCGGCCTCCTAGGCGCCCGCCTAGGCGCTCTAGACAGTCCTCAGGCGCCTAGCGATTTTTTCAACATTGATTGTAATTACCTTCTTCAGATACTTCTTGTGAAGCTTCAAGGCACCAGTGCAAGCCTTTCTGGCATCTATGTTGCCCGTTACATCGTTTAATATCTGAAAAACGAAATAAAAACTCCCATTGTATGATTATTTTGTGAAAAAAAGGGTTCCTTTTCAGTTAGCTTTAAGAGAACACCATTGCTGACCTTAACAACATCATCCAACCCTCTAGCCTCTGCCAACAACTTGGGACTTTTCTCTTTGAGCACATTGGCTACAAGGAAAACGGATATCGGGAGGGGAGGTTCGTTACTTCTTCCAGCATTTTTCAAGTATTCTCTCTCATATTTCCCGCATTGGTAAATCGCCTTTCCTCCCGCTTTAGACCCTTCAGATATTTCAGTAGACGAGTCGGGGTCTTCATACGACAAAAACAAATTAGGATCATACTCCAAAGCCCACATCATCTATGCAAAAAGCGATCAAGAAACAAGAATCAGAAGCAGAAGATGCAAAAACTAATAGGCGAGCGAAAGAAAGAAAGAGAGATTCACTCTTACCTCCCATAGATATAATGAATCGCCAAAAGAAAATTCTCGACGGAACAAAACCATAAGCATTCTGAAAGCAAAGAGATAATCACCTCCACCCAAGGTCTCTGCAGGTCATAAACTCCGAACACATTAATTTAGCTTTAATTTGGTTTGTTTATTCAGCAATTGATGCTTCAAACTTCTCCTTCAATAAGTGGTTTAGTGGGGGGAAAAAGAAATCTAATCGTTCTATACTTACAAAAGATAATGAAACCGTTTTGTCACGTGATATAGACAAAATGCAAGATTATATCAGAGATCTACCTAAGTGCTGATGGAGTTTAGGATCAATAACTTGGGTGACTGAAGCCAGATTAGTAAGTTGTGTTTCGACTCCGACAGACTGATCTGTGCATCTGAAATTTCCTCGCTTTCAAGTCCACACAAGAGAAAATTCATAAGCAAGGTGTTCGATATCACAAGACCAAGGATCACATAGAACACACAGGATCATCAACAATTATTCGAGTGACAAAAAAATACAAAATAGCCATACGTGTGATGAAGAGTTATTTCCATTTTGTCCTAGATTTATAGGTGGCAGTCCACTTTTAGTCCTTTTTTATCAGAACATCCTCATTTGCTCCTAGTATTATTGTGGCATGACCATTTTTTGTCCTCCGTCAACAAAATCGTCGTTAAATACAAGGACATTTCGATCCTTTTTATACAAAGTAGGTTGACCCTTTTTTTTTTTTTAATGTTTTTGAAAAAATCCATAATTGAAGACCGAAATGCCCATATATTTAACGACATTTAAACTATTTTGTTGATAGAGGACCAAAAATGGTCATGCCACAATAATTCTAGGACCAAAAGTGGATGTTCTGGAAAAAAAGGACTAAAAGTAGACTGTTACCTATAAATCTATGACAAAAAATGGAATTAACTCTGTGATGAAAAACCTAAATGTCAAATCGAAGACAGTTCTAACTAGCTGATGGATCACATAAAGCAATTATGGCATTATGCACAAACATTGGTAGTTAATTATACAAATCTGGGTAATATATACGTACCAGTCTGCGCATTAAGTGTTGAAAGCACCAAAATGCATCTCCTTCATTGTCAAGAAGAATTATCATGGGAGAGCAAAGGTCACTCATACCTGCTCAGCATATTTAAAAGTTTAAAGCCCATTTCGAGCAAGAAGAAACGATACCACATAAAATTCCAGCTATGTTGAAATAAAAACTAGTGCCAATACTTCTAGGGAACAATTTACAAAGAATCCATGCATCATCTTAGGGCACCAATATAGATAAAAAGGAACATATTTAACCAGCTTGGTTGGCTTGAGTGAGTGGCCATGCACTCTCATCCATTAAGAGAGGTCGGGAGTTCAAACCCCCTCTCATATGGAAAAACCAATCTGGCTAGCACTTGACCCCTTAATTGGGCCCGCCCGGTGCGAATGGGGATTAGTCTGAGTATGGTACGGGCTTAAAGATGTCTCCTACAGTTAGGGCCTGCTCAGGACACCTCATGGTCTGACCAAAAAGAAGCATATTTTCTCAAAAGTCATGAGCATATGAAACTTGTGATACACTCGAAACAAATTCAATGATGATGGGTTGCAGAAAAGGACCACTCTTGGACTCATAGTAGCGCTCAATAGTTTATTCTTCTTTGATATCCAACAGGGAAACTGTGTACATGATCTTACAGAAAGTAAACGAATTTCCTTCAGTAAAAAAAATCTGTTGTTTTAAAGTAAATGAATTTCCATCATTAAACTGATTGGACAATGACAAAGGAAAATGCTATAGAGAGGTCGGGACACACACCTTGACAATAACCAACATCTTTATCGAACCAGGCATAAACAGCAAGAATATCCCAAAGTTTTGATAGATTCTCTTGTTTCTCATAAAATATAAGTGTTCTGTCAGTCCGGACCACATCAAGTCCTAGTATAATATATCAATGCAAAGATAAACGGGTTATATAACACATAACATGATCATACACGAAAGTTGTTAGTAGAAGTAGAAAAGGTGTGGGGTAGGAGACGAAAAAACCAACCTATCTGGTGCAATGTGAGTTTCCACTGAATTATTCTTTGATCTGTTTCCTTCACCATATCTGGATTGTTTCCATCGCCTGTAATTTATTAGCACGTTGTCAATGCAACTGCCCCCGATAATCCATGAATAATATATTCAAAAAAAAATAAAAATTGAAGAGCTTAATATAATCGGCCTTACCATCCCCCATTTGCTGAAGTACGATAGGATCTAGAATAGGATCTCCTTCCTCCGAGATTATAGGCGCAGTTACAAATTTGCCACTTCCTATCAAGGAAAAGATTTGGTGGCATTCTTCTTTCAATACATTATACTGTGCCCTGAAAATGTACACAATAAAATCATATATCTAAAATAATAATAACTTGACTTCGAAAAAAAAAAAAAAAAAAAAGTACCTTCTGCGTTCCCTTATCTGATCTCGCTCTGCATATGTGCTTTTCGGATCAAAACAACCCAGTAAAAATTCCCAAACTTCACCTCTAATCGTTGGATGTATTCCCTATGATGCCACAAATAATTGATAGTAAATATACCCTCTGTCACGGAATTGATTAAAATCAAATATCTCGTGCTACCAATATCAAGAATTTCCTATCCATGGCAGAAAACTCACCCCACGATGAATTCTGCTAAGTGTTTTGCCAATATCTAGAAAACCTTCTGGACTAAATGTAGCATGCCATTTCCGAGGACTTAAGGTTCTCCCAGCCTGAATAAGAAGTTACACAAAGAATTGTTGAACAATACACGAAGATTGCTAAAGAAAGTGCAATAACAAAAAGGAATAGCTTATAAACTACCAGAACTGAAGCCAGAGAACCTCATCCACATAAACATACATTATGGCTTTTAAAGTTTTGTGACCATTCCACAAAGGAACTTCACTTATCCCAAATTTAACATAAATCAAGACCCATGAAGCCACCAAAGAAACCCATACCCCTCTTTTTGGCAATAACTACCATTCTTGAAAAAGCATGCAAAAAAACAAAACATAGTGAATATCCCAATGCCATAAATAATCAACCTTTAGATTTGATTGTTGCCAATTTCCACTTCCCCAACTATTTAGGAGCCAAAATGTACCATTGCATTGATGTCAACTGATTTGAAGCCACCATTATATCTATCTATATCACATTACAGCCTTTACAGGTAACAGACATTTCATTGATTGAGGATATCCGAGAATCAAATGAATTTTTTTTTCCTGAATATTCCAAAAGATCACCAACAACAGCATAAATAGCAATCCATTTCTATAGCATGTGTAAATAGATTCCCATCCAAATTATGAAGACATAAACATCAAGGCAATACTCCTTCAAAATCCATGAACCAATCCTCAGCTGCATTCTTGAATCTCAACAAAAATGCAGAAAAAAAAAAAAAAGGGTTCTTGATTGAATTATAAAATAAAATGAGATATACCTTGATTCTAAACTTTGTCTTGGGAACATCAGTGCATTCGGGGCGGACCTCATAGAATGAATCAGTAGGGGTCCCAGGACCCCTCCACATATCCGAAAGCGAATCTATAGAAAACAACACCAAACACAGTGAAAACTCAATTACTGAAAGCTTTCTCCAGAACCCATATTAAAAACAAATAAAAAAATTCAAGAATCGAACTAACCCAGTTTTTAAAGCTTGACTTCGCTGCCTTCCTGCTGGTTTTGGACAAAGATTCAGAACACCAACTTCAAAGCAAAGAAACACGAAAAAAAGAAAAAGAAAGCTATTTTAAAATTTAATATTTGTTTGGCATTGTGTTTTAGTTATATTTTTTGGCATTGGGAAGTGGTTATTAGAGGTGAACAGAGCGGAAATGGTGGTGTTGGAGATCCCCGGGGCTTCACAAACTTTTCCCTCTATCAGCTCCCTCGCAACACCAATGCATGACAACACTGCTCTTCCCCTCCGTTTAATGCGTACCACGCTCAATTGCAATCACTTTGTCTTTATTTCATTTTAGTTTTTTATATACTCCGTATATATTATTTTTAAAAATTTTCATATACACCCCTAAATTTAACAATTTTTTTTTTTGTCAGACCACAAGGTGTCTTAAGCATACCTTAATTGTAGAAGACACCTTTAAACTTGTACCACACTCAGACTAATCTTCGTTCGCATCGGATCGGCCTAATTAAGTGGCAAAGTGCTGGCCATATTAGTTTTTCCGTTAAAGAGTGCACGATCACTCACGCCAACCAAGCTGGTTTCTAAACTTATCACTCTTATGTAATTAGGTTATTGAACTTAAAAATTGTTCAATTGAACCATCAAACAAATAAAATATGTGCAATTGAGATATTTTTGATATGAAAACATTACAGTCTTTACTATAACTAGTATGATAAAAGAAAGGATGACTCTCATGCATATCATATAAGTAATATGATCGAATTTTATCAAAAATTTAAAAAATGTCTCAATTGCACATATTTTTCTTATTTGATAGTTTAATTGCACATTTTTTAAATTCAATGACCCAATTGCATATAAGCAATAAGTTCAGTAATTTATTTAACATTTTTTTCTATTATTTTTTTTTACCTTTATTCACAAAAATAAAAAATTCTCGGACCCCATCGAATTTGTGAAGTTTGTATTATTTTTTACTTTTACAATTTATGTTTCGAAGTTAAAACTTCTCATTTTAACACGTCTCTTATAGCTTTTCTTTAACATGTTTTTAAAATTATATTCTTAATTATGTAATTTTAAAATGTCATATTTAATATTTCTTAATTAAGTGGAGAATAGGATTTTAACCAATGTTATTAATTAAGTGGAGAATACATTATTTGGGTATGGTGCTCAATTCACTTGGCCAATATACTTTATTTGTCCCATTTTACTTTTTACGTTAACTATGATAACATTGGTTAACCAGGACTATGTGGTCTAATGGTATCCGGGTTGGACTTCCATTTGGAAGATCGTGATTTCGAGCCTCAGTGGAGGCGTTATTGGCTCTTTGTGTTTCAGTAGGTTGAGAAAGTATATGAATAGATACTACATTGTAATAGAGCTAGTAGCATTCAAAAAAAAAAATAAAGAATATAAAACTTTCTATGTAGAAATCAGAAAGGTAAAGAGCCAAATCAAAATTATTATGTTTATTATTATTATTATTTTTGGATCAAAAGGGTATGCAAGTTACAGAGTACTATTTAGCTGATGATCTATGAGAGAATGATTTGATAGTTGTTGGAGATTTATATAGTAATGGAGATTAATGTGTAATGGAGATTAATGTTTCAGATGGACTACCAAGAAAGCTTAAATAATATTTAGAATTGTGGAGTTATAAATATTATTTTAGTTTGGTAGAAAGTAAAATGAGAAATATGTTTTCGTTTGGTTTCAGCCATTAAACTTCACTTTCAGCAAAATGAAGTTTCGGCCAAATGAAACCTTTCGGCCAGATGATCGAAGCTAACGAAAGTGGACTTTCGTTAAATGAGAATTCACTTTCGGCTATGTAAGTACATGCACGTAAGTTCACTTTGATTTTAATTTGGAAACTTTCGTTGATTTCCATGTTGGAGCATGCATGTGGAACAAAAGTAATATATATATATGTTCATGATTCAGCCTTAATGAAATTAACGAATGTTGCTTTCGTTTGTTTGCTTTCATATGTGCTGCATGCATGGATTTTTATTATATATATATTAATTATTTACTTTGCATGGTAATAACATGCAATGTTATAATAAATATATATAATATATATATTTTACTTTGTTATTTTGTATGCAGTGCATGAACCTATGTAGGTCCATATGATATGAATATTTATAATATTCAATTATATATTTCTCATGCTTGATATATCATATAAGATATATCTTATGGAAGTGAAGTTTTAAATTTAAATAATTAACTTCCATGTAACTTATCCTAACTGCTATATTTATTTTATATAAATATCTGGAGAAACATCTGAAGAATACAGAGAGAAAAAGAAAACAGGCAATTGATGGAGGCAATCAACTTGCAGGAAACCAAGACATTTCACAGGCTTACAATTCTACCGGAAATTCTCAAACAGAGCAACTTGAGAATTTCATTCATCTTCTTGTATCCCATAAGATTAAATCTTGAACCTTGTTGCTTTTATAGAGGGAGATTTAAAGCTTATAGGAAAGTGATATCACGCCTGAAGATATCAAATGATCCAGTTTTTGTTCCCTGTTGTATTCTGTATTATTGTTGTATCTCAAATGTATTACAGCTTACAAACCCTTTTTTCTAACAATCTATAAGCTTTAAAATTTATAAACCTGTGATCATTGGTCTTGCCTTGAAAGTTCTGAAGTCAAGATGTCTGGCGTGAAAGAACAGTTTCCCATTACGGTAATTTTTTCGGAATGAGTTTTCAAATATGGTGATGGGAGGATGACATAAATCACCTTTTGGTTTGTCTTTTGTTTATGTACAAGAAGATTTCTGTGTAGATTTTGCATGTTATTCTTGACATGCTGTGTACATGTTGTACATGTGGATTAAATGCATGTTGTGCAGTTTTTGTTTTCATCTTCACTTAAAATCATGGGGCATCAAGTGATGCCAAGATGATTAGTGAGATGTGCAAAATGATTTTATTTAAATAAATCATTTTGTTAGCCATGATTTAATTGGCTTGAGAAGATGTGTACTTCCCTAGATTGGGTGTGTGGTTTTAGCACATCAAAGGCCGGAAGATATGGATTATCAAGGCAGATACAAGTTACAGGATGAGATCGGTACATTACCTTCTTTATATTTGTCTCGGCCTCGGCAGGTACGGAAGTTTTATTTTACTTACTAGTTAAGCTCTGGTTTCTGTCTAAAAGGTATGCATGAGATTCTTTTGAGTTTTTGCATAGCCTGCTAATACAAGGATATGTTTATGCATGTATATAAATATTTTTATATTGAGACTCTGTCTCGGTTCCATGCATAGTATACAAGATACATGTATAATATGTTGGGTCTTGGGGTGCTGTAAATTGCCAAATTTGGTGTAGTTTGGTGTTGTAAATATTTCTGATATCATTTGCATGGATACAGAGTTGCATAATGATAAGATGAAATTATTTTTATTGTTTCATGCATGAAATATTGGTATTTTAGCACACAGATGTTTTTATCCTTGTGAAAGTTTTGAAATATTATGTTATTAATATTTCTAATAAAGACAGAAATGCCTTCGAAATATTCTAGTATATTTCTAATGAAGGCATATAGAAAGTTTTATGCATGAAGTATGCATAATGAAATTCATAAAATTTATGAATGTCTTTAACACAAAGTTTCTCATTTTGAGAATGTGTTAAAATTCTGAAAGCCAAAAAGTTTACTAGTTTATCTAGTATGGCTGGCAGTTAGCAGTGAAAAGAAAGTTTTAATTTAAATCATGGACTATGATTTAAGAAGGTATGATTCTTCAGTTTAGAAGAAACATGAAAAGTTAAAAGCTTAAAATCATATATGATTATTCTCCAAAGTGAATGGATATTTCTGAATGGAGGAGGTTTATCAATATATGATTATTCTCCAAAGTGGATGGTATTCCAAGTGGAGGAGGTTTAATTTTTATTTAAGGAATCACTCACTGTTAATGAATTCAATTACATGGTGATTGAAATTCTTAGTTATGGAATTTGCAGGAAATAAATATTTATTGACTAGGAACCTATAAAGTGGGTTCTGGTATAATCAATCAAATATTTTATTTCACAAGTTCATTGATTGAATATTAAAATTCAATGATGCCGGTTATATCTAATCAGGAAGAGTTTTCCTGCACTTCGTGGATGGGTTTATCTGCTTGGAGGAGGTGTTTTTTCCTGGATTTCTAAAAACAAAAGTTGCATTTCAGATTCAACTATGGCATCTGAATTTATTGCATTGGTTTAGGCATGCTAAGAAGTTAATTGGCTAAGGAATTTATTTATTGAGATTCCGATTTTGCTAAAACCGATGTCACCAGTTTTAGTGCATTGTGACAGCGCTACTACACTTGCCAAAGCATATAACAATAAGTTATAATGGCAAGTTAAGACACATAGGCATGAGATATAGCTATGTGCGGGAGCTCCTAAGTTATGGTGTTGTAGCACTAGACTTGGTACAGTCCCGGTTTTAACGGATCCGTTTGCAAGAGTCCTTGCAAGGGACATGGTACATCGGAAGGGATATGGAAAGCCTAATTATTTAATTACAAGTGAAGGAAAACTCAACTCACGTCTAAGTTATTACGTTAGACCTTGAGTTTAATGTAGATGAGTACTTCATTTTGTGATTGCAAGCATCAAAAGTTATAATTAAAAATTATATCCCAAGAAAAAGTGATGCTTGGTTCTGCATTGTTGTAGGGATGAGTTTTTACTCTTAACTGATCTTTTGAAAAAATGCAAGGTGCAGTGCATGATATAAAAGATTAGCCTCTGTGAGCATGAAGTGTGGCCGCTTCAAACAAGTTTGGGCTTTACTTGGTACGTGCTCATTAATGGATACGGACACATGGCCATAATAGTGTCAAGTTATAGTGAGTTGTAATGACTGTAAAACTTGTGTGTGTTATATCAACGTTTCTTCAAAGAGACTGCGTGATTCAAGGTTCGTCCATCACTGCAATCCGAATTAATGTAACGCATATAACATTAAGTGAAAGTTCAATCTCTAAGACACTTTCATTTATGCATGAGTTTTGGATTTATCTTGGTAAAGTATTAGTCTTTACTATATAAATGGAGGAGGAATGTTGGAGATTTATATAGTAATGGAGATTAATGTTTCAGATGGACTACCAAGAAAGCTTAAATAATATTTAGAATTGTGGAGTTATAAATATTATTTTAGTTTGGTAGAAAGTAAAATGGGAAATATGTTTTCGTTTGGTTTCAGCCATTAAACTTC